AACCGAACCGTGGTGTGAGTGTGTATCTGTGTCTTGTGTGCCCTGTGATGGACTGGTGTCCCATCCAGGGTGTACCCTGCCTTGTGGCTTTTGCTTGCCGAATTGACCCTGTATTGGAAGAAGTGGTTAGGAAATGAATGGACAGTGATGAATATTTGAATTACCATTGCATGTAGGAAGGCAATGGAATTCCATGGCTGTATGTCCTTTATTATTCTTCACATGAAGTGACACTTTTGAAGGTATTTGAAAGAAAAGTCACTGTTGCAAAGTGATGATGCACAAGCAAGAAACACAGAAAATGTTGATAACTGCATAGACGCAGACATAGTAGAAAGGGGAAAAAAACGCTTCTGTTTTTCAGAGAAGGCAGAAGTGAATGATTTCCTAACCAATACTGAGGTCACAATTGATTTCAGACCTCACTGTATCATAGGCCAAATCCTTTGATGAGACAAGGGTTGAACAGGCACCACAGTAGAAAACATTGGCCAAAAAAACAGTGTAGATGACTATGAGGAGAGAAACAATAGGAAGGATGTTAGACTAATGAGTCAAGAATAAGGCTCCTGTTTGTTGTTGGGTGAAGCTTTGGAGTGTTTTGCTGTTGTGCAGACATGTCACATAGTTCACACAGGGAGGCAGCTTTGGATAAAGGGCCTGTTATTGAACATGATAATACAGACCCTCAAGATTCTGTCAGAAAAATGTCCATTATTTATGGCTGGAAAAAGAACACAGCTATTTCAGCTAACACTGTGGTTTTCCAAATCACCAGACCTGAACCCTGTTAAAATGTTAAAGAACCACATTGAATAGAGAGTGAAAAGAAGATTGCAAACAGTATATTTTCTAGACTGGTGACCAGGAATCCTTAACTAAAAATAGACAAATAAATAACTAAATCCTTGTGGCAGAATGCCTAGAGAAAGTGCAGCTATGATTGGAGAAAAGGTGGGCAATTTAAGGATAAAATGTCAAATTAATGACAGAATTGTTTATATCCACTGGATATTTTATCCAGGTGACCTTATAAGTTTGCTATCCACTGTACATGTATGAAACCACATGACTTTTTTTGGCAATAAATCAAAATTGTTTTATATATTGTTGCTTTAAGGAGCTTAAGTTTCCTCTTACAAAAGAAGATAAGCTCTATCCCCATGAGCTTCTTAGCAACAAACAATTCATTTGGTCTGATTGTTTGAAATTATCCGACAAACCGCCACACATTAAGAGTACAATCCAGGATTAAGGTAACTGTCAGCATGGAAAACCAGCTGAACAAAGTACAGTTACAAAACTGCAATATATACACTCTGTAAATGTAAATGTCACTAATGTTCACCAGATTTTTGCACAACAGTTCAAAATTGTGATTGTGCTGTTAACATATTCAGGACTAAAACATGGTTTCGGTGTGTTTCTGTCAAAGTGGCTTAAGTGTTGTCTCAGCACCCAGGAGACCCAGCCAAGCTGCTTTAATCTTCATAGTAAATCTATCAAATACTCTTAATCATTAGGCTACTAGGTTAGATTTTTAGGCCTTTTAACTCCAGCAAATCCTTCCTGACAGCTAAAATGCTAACTTTTAAATGGATATTGAGTACTGTGTATCATATGCACTTAAAAGATTTGAAAAAATTAAAGATACATATAGAATCATTTTATTATTACTATTAATAATAATCATTATCATCATCGTCATCATATTTTTATCTTCAACTTATCTTTGCACTGTTCTGTTAACAGAGTAATTTTCTCTCATTTTTTTAAATTACACAGAACAGCCAGATCACAAAATCCCTATTCTCCTCTAATTTCACTGATGCAATTCTTTGTATTGTACTATGTGAGAGACAGCATGAAGCAGCTATAGGTCAGTGGACTTAGAACCTTTCAGCCTTATGTTAGTACCTTAGTAACATATGCTAGAATAGGTAACAGGTTGGAGTCCGTGCACTGGAGCGACTCATGTAACAGAAGGTTTCTTCAAACAATATAAAATCAATTTCTGAATAATGAAACCTCTTGGGGATTTAAAGTTTTAGCAATGTGCTCATAAAAACTCTGAACTTTGGAAATTAAACTCTGTATATTCTTAGCCTTGATCCTTGATTAACTGCCCCCCCCCCATCAAACTTCTAAAATATCTATAATATATTTTAGAATATAATAAAATATGAATAATACTAATATATTTTAAAATATAAGATATTTGGAGGTGCTTAAAATGTAATGTAACCAAACTGAATAGTTTTAAATATAGGTTACAGCTCATATGATCTGTACCCATTGAAAATGAAAATGTCTCAATCAGAGGCCTGAAAGTTGTGTTTATGTTGTCTTTTTTCTTAATGATGATCACTTGCAACACAAAATGAGCCATTAAAAATCTTCCCCAGAAGATTACCATTAAATGCCTCAGTGAAAAGCAGCTGTTTTTTTTCCAGATCAGTGCACCAAGTACTGAATATTGACAGAGTGTACTTTTGTGTGATTTTCTTGTTTTTGGAATTTTAGTCTAATGGTGATATAGAACCAGAATCCAGTCCTATCTAATGCTGCCTATCTAGGTGTTTCTGGAATTTGAGTTACAAAATTGTAGTAAAATGTATACCATTTGTAGTAAAACAACCTGGGGAAGACAATCCGGTGGTTGGTTTGCCCTTTCTTCACACAACATGTGTGATTGGATCTAGGAAAAACGTTCAAAGTATTTTCCAACTTAAGATAAGATCACTTTATTGGCCATATTCAGTTTCTTGCACTAGGAATTTGTCTTTTCGCATACCCCAGCTTGCTCTCCATGAGACACACAGAAAGGGAGAAAAGCTTGGGGTCAGAGCACAGGTTCTATAAAACAGAGAACAAAATGAAAACATGGCACTGCTGCATAATCTATACAAACATATCCATACTGCATACTTCGTTATCTTGAAGGAGATTGCCACATATACCATTAAAATTGAAATATCTGCTAAACTTTTAATGGAACAACTGTATTAAAACTCTAGCCATCTTTCTATTATTTGTATAGGTGAAGTACAGTATGTTATTGTTCTTTTCTAGTCTTTTTTCTTATTATAGATTATTTGTAAGAAGGAAAAGAGGACAAATGTTTTCATTTCTGCAAGTGTTACAACCTCTTTATGTGGATTGGTGTTTTTTCAGATGGTGTGTCAGACACCTTTACCAGCCTGTCTGTTCAGATCGCCTAGTTAGAACAAAGTATGCGCACATCTTCTACTGTTATATATTGGAAGTTAGCACGTACTTTCTAAAAAGGTAACACCTCCGTCTCAATTACCCTTCTTCAGTACCAGATGAGTTCCACGTATCACTGAAAATCCACAATTAAAGTAGTCTATATTTAAGGCGTAAAATGGAATCATTATAATCTTTGTAAATCAACGCTTTGAAGAAGCGAGAATATTAAGTTTGTTTACAAAGAGGACAAGTTGGCGTAACACAGCATTTATTTTTAAATATTGTAAATATTTGCAAAGGTTCAAGCAAATGGTTATTTAGCGCTGAAGTGTAAAAAAACAACGTTTAACGTTTGAATTTCTCTGCAACTCGCACACTGACGCAGATTCCCTCCAAAAGAATTGTGTGATTGCATTCTGATGTAACAGCATAGGCCAAAAACATTTTTAGACTTATGAAAATAGACAAATCAAACATATGCAAATATATGGTATGAAACAGATCACTTTTTTTGTTGACTGAGATTATTTGTTCGCACAAACTACTGTGAAGCCCCGAGTCAAACTTGGACATAAACCCAATGAACAAGAATACTTGTTTTCCCGTTGCATTGTAGCACATCCTAGAATACCCTATCACTTTCATGACAACTAAGCATATAAGCTAGGTATTTATACTAACAGTTCAACACATTAAGGGTTTAAATCAATGCGATTTGCTCTAACACGGGTTTTTGGCAGATGGCAGGTCTGTATCCGCATCCTCCTCCAGTCTAGGCACAATGCCGACGTTCTGGAATCTATAAACGCCTGCTGCTCCACCAATAAAGCAGAAACGCCTCTCGCAAATCGCAGTTTAAAAAAGCTTATTTAAAATGTATCCTCTGAATTTTAATTACCCTCTCAAAACCAGGATTTCTTCTATTCTAATATTCATTCCTTAAAAATGAATAACGCTCAGATATTCCAATGTTCGCCTAGCGAGGGTAAACTATCTCAAAGACAGTATGTTACAGGTACACTTTTACTGCTACCAGGCAAATAGGTCAACAACACCACCATACCCACCACCAACGATAATGATAATCATAATAACTATAAAATGATTATGATGCTGACAGACGCACCAGTAGTTCCATAAAACTTTAAGCACTTCCTCTGAAGCTTTTACGTGCGACACCTTTCCTAACGCCTAACTCGTGATTTCCATCCCATGGCTAAACGTTTGTATTACTCGTGCAAAGACACTGTTACCAACAAACAGGATCCAGGCTCCTTAATCTTTAAATCAGATTTAAAGCGCAGCCAAAACGGTCATTATTTAACTAACAACCAATCAATGTGTTGTTTTGTTGCTTGTACTTAAGGTATTTAAGTCGCTGAGCATATTTGCTTAAATCATTGCTTATTTCAGTTTAATTAATAAGAAAGCGAGTTAAATATGTACTTTGCAGAATAGCACTGACAGCATTCGTTGAATAATACATCTAGTTTTGACGCCATTCCTCAAGCATGACGAACTTCGTCATGTAAATCTTTACATTTTAGTTGTGTCGGGGGTCTAAGCGAGGGTACCAATATCAAAACATCTCCAAATGTTCTACATTTTGAAGCCTTTTGTATGAAACAAAAGTTGGGTGACAGAACCAAAGGGCAAACCATTTGTAACCCAGAAATTTCAGACGGGATCATCTCCATTTGTGTCACCAAGCGCAGGTCATTGGTCAGTGTCCCAGCTCATTTGCATAGGGCTGGTCATATATCCCATCCATTGGGCCAGCTGCAGCACAACCGAAGACAGCGGTGAAGGGCTCGCATGGCAGTGACAGCTTGAGATTAGAGTCATTGTCCAGTGACGAGGGGATTTAAACATTATTAAATCGCGTTTTTTTTTCCTGTAACAGAGATGAGTCACAGAAAGTTAAACCTACGAGGGTCCTCCATTGTCCTCCTTGCTTTGCTGTGTATTGCGCAAAGCAAAACCGTGAAATATTTTACTTATGAAGAAGACGCTCCAGGGACAGAGATTGGCAACCTGTCTCGGGATTTGAAGATCGATCCAGCGGAGGACCCCCAGACGAGCTTTCGCTTCATGCAGAAAGCCGGCTCCTCGTTCATTCGAATGAGAGAGATTGACGGGCTCTTAACCACTGGAGAGAGGATCGACAGGGAGAAGCTCTGCGGTCAGTCCCCACGGTGTCTCATAACCTTCGACATCATCTCTTTTTCCAAGGAAAAGTTTCAGCTCATTCACGTGGAGATTGAGGTGAAAGACATCAATGACAACTCGCCGCAATTCCCGCACAACGAAACGTACATTGACATTTCGGAGAGCGCCGCAGTGGGGACGAGATTTCCACTGGACATAGCGGTCGACCAGGATGTGGGTCCGAATTACATTCAGAGCTATCATATCACATTCAACAGTCACTTTGGCATTGAGGTGCATAGCAGGGAGGACGGAGTTAAATTTGCGGAGCTTGTGCTGCTGAAAGAGCTGGACAGGGAAACAGAAGACTCCTACACCCTCAAGGTGTCGGCTGTGGATGGAGGGAATCCGCCAGTTTCAGGGTTAGTGACTGTTCAGATCAAAGTGCTTGATTTCAATGACAACAGTCCTGTCTTCGAGCACAGTAAACTCAAAGTAGAACTGTATGAGGATGCGCCCGTGGGTTACCTTCTGTTAAAGCTGAACGCCTTTGATCCCGACGAAGGTAAAAACGGGGAAGTTGTCTATGGGTTCGTAGAGGAATTATCTTATGAGATCAAACAGGTTTTTCAAATAGACCCCGCTTCTGGACACATCACACTAAGAGAACAAGTTGATTACGAGAAGAAGAAAACGTATGAGCTTAATATCCAGGCTTACGATCTAGGGCTTAATTCTGTCCCTTCTACCTGCAAGGTTATTGTGGAAGTTGTAGATGTAAACGACAACGCACCTGAGATACGTATCAAACCGATGACTTCCATGAACGACGGGATCGCGTACATAACGGAAGCCGCTGCTGAGGACAGTTTTGTTGCGCTGGTCAGCACCTCTGACAGGGATTCCGGTGCTAACGGGTACGTGCAGTGCAGCTTGCAAGGTCACTGGCACTTCCGACTGCAGCAGGCCTACGGCGACACCTTCATGATCGTGACGACCGCGGCTTTAGATCGAGAGAAGACAGCAGAATACAACCTGACCGTGATAGCCGAAGATCTGGGGTCTCCTCCGTTCAAAACCATAAAGCAGTACACTATAAGAGTAGGTGATGAAAATGACAACGCTCCCCTTTTCGGCAAACCTGTGTATGAAGTTTCGGTGAAGGAGAACAACGCCCCGGGTTCATACATAACAACTGTAGTGGCCCGCGATCTTGATTTGGGACACAATGGCCAAGTCACTTACAAACTCATTGATGGAGATGTATTGCTGGGATCTCCCTTATCTACGTTTGTTTCTCTTGACCCGGTATCGGGCGCCTTGTATGCTGTAAGGTCTTTTAACTACGAATTAATTAAGCAAATTGAAGTGACAATTCAAGCTAGCGATGGTGGGTTTCCACAACTAACAAATACGGCGTTAATCAGAGTTAAAATAGAGGACCAAAATGACAATGCACCTCTTATTGTTCATCCCATTTTGCAAAACAGCTCTGCAGACGTGCCAATACCGTATAATGCTCCGTCTAGCTACCTTGCTGTCCAAATCAAGGCAAGAGATTCGGATGAAGGTGTTAACGGTGAGGTGTCTTACAGAATTTTAGAAGATCCGCAAATGCTGTTTTCTATCAATAAGCAAACAGGTGAAATTTATTTAAAAAACGCTCTAACATTTGTTTGTGGAGACATGCTCAAAGTAAAGATTGCAGTAAACGACAACGGACGACCCTCTTTGTCATCCACTGCTACAGTACGCTTCTTTGTTACAGAAATGCCTCTTTCAAATGATCAAGTAGTGCTTATGCTGCCCTCAAGTGTTGACACACATTCTGAGATGGACGTCTCACTCATCGTTATAATCATGCTAGGCGGCGGTTGTGCTGTATTGCTGATCGCTATTATAAGTGTCGCCGTTTCTTGCAAAATTAACAGTAGAGGAAGAAATTATGCAGCCAAAAAGGACTCTAGCCACAGAATATTTGAAAGAAACCCACTCTCAATGCATAGTCCACATGGCTCATCTATATTCATTGGATCACGAGTTATCGCCAGCGATCAAGTTGCATCCTCACGGGACGGGGATGTCTCAAGCTGCCTGTACGAGGAGGGAAGCGAGGATTCGGAAACTAGGGTAAGTATTGTCAACAACAACAACAACAACAACAACAA